AACGAAAGAAGGAAGGAAGGAAAAGGGAAAAAACGAAGGAAGGAAGGAAGGAAAAAGGGGAGGGAAGGGAAGAGGAAGGAAGGAAGGAAGGAGAGAAAGAAAAAAGAGGAAGGAAGGAGAGAAAGGAAAAAGAAGAGAGGAGAGGAAGGAAGTAAAAAAAGAAGGAAGGGAGGAAGAGAAGGGAAGGGAAGGAAGGAGAGAAAGGAAAAAGAGAGAGAAGAAGAAAGAAAAAAGGAAGGAGGGAGGGAGGGGGAGTGGAAGGAAGAAAGGAAGGGAAAGGGAAAAAAACAAAGGAAGGAAGTAAAAAGAAGGGAGGGGGAGGAAGGGAAGGGAAGAGGAAGGAAGGAGAGAAAGGAAAAAGAGGAGAGGAGAGGAGCGGAGGGAAGAAAAATAAGGGACGGAGGAAGGAAACAAGAGAAAGGGAAAAGAACGATGGAAGGAAGGAAAGAAGAAAAGAAGGAAGGAAGGAAAAAAGGACCTCTTTTTCAGAAAAAAAGTAAATAACCAGTTTAAGCCCCTTTCAACCCGAAGAAAATCTAGCTATATGTGATCCCTAAGAATCAATACCAAACTCATGTCACAAAATCATCAACTGTTTTTAGAGCTCTTGCACAAAATCATAACCAGAAAAAAATGCAGTCGGGCAACTGTCCAGGTGTCCGGAAGGAACGGTTAGCGCTACGTCCGGCCAGACCTTCCTTTCATTAATAGCAGGAAACAGAAGGCAACGCCCACACAGGCAGAGCCTCTCCAAAACAGGAGAAATCCTCAGAGCAGTGGTGTGTGTGTGTGTGTTTGCCCCTTCTGGCGTCGTCTCTGCTTAGCGACCGTCTCTGCTTCTTCCGCCAGCCAAGTTCAGAACGTTCCTCCCCACGTCAAACATTCTAAAGCCAGACAAAGAAACTCACGTTTGGTTGCAAAAGGCCACCCCGTCGCCTGCGTAACCTCGGTTGCAGTGACACTGGAAGGAATCCGGGGTGTTCTTGCACCGGGCGAAGGGGTGGCAGTTGGCCAAGCCCAGGCGGCATTCGTCCACGTCGGGACACTGCCCGTACGACCACTGAGCCGGGTGGGAGGGAGGCAGTCTGTGGGATTCCCACAGGGCCACCGAGCAGTTCCAGAAAGTGCTGAGGCCGGAGAAATCTCCTGGGAGGCACCTGGCGAGGAAGTCGAAGTACAAGCCGTGAATTCGCAACAATCCCAAAATGATCGCTATTTCCCCCATCCCACCCCCGGTTAGTCTTCTGCTACCGAACGACTCTTTGTACGATGGGGATCGTCATCCTCTTTTAACGAACCCATAAATCCCTTGCGGGGTGGAGTCTGGGCAACTGAATGCAGCTAGCAGAGTGTTTAATGGCCAGCTGCCTTACCCGTTGCCAGTGCGGAGTTTTGTTTCAACAGAGATATTCTCATTGTGCCCAGAAAGAGAAATTTATCTGCCTCTACCTAGGAGCGAACTCACAGCCTCCTGATGGTGAGGTGAGAGTTCCACCTCTAGGCCACTGCACCATTCCTCATCATACAATGGTGATGAGTTTAGGTAATCCTCAACTTACGACCACAGTTGAGCTCAAAATTTATGTTGCTAAGTGAGAAATGCCAAATATTGGAAGACTGCTGTCATATCACCCCTGCTGCTTCTTTTTATTAAGTTAGACATGCCCAATTCCTGCAACCCTTCTTCATTTGTTTTGGTCTCCAGTCCCTTAATCCTCTTTGTGGCTCTTCTCTGCACTCTTTCTAGAGTCTCAAACATCTTTTTTTACATCATGGCGACCAAAATTGGATGCAGGATTCCCAGTGTAGTTCTTACCAAGGCATTATACAGTAATATCAATACTTCCCGTGATCTTGATTGTGTACCTCTGTTAATGGTTGCAAGGTGAAGGGAGAATTTTTTTTTTTAAAATAGTCTAAAGAGTGGACTCACCTGCCCAAGGTAGGGTTGTCGGAGTTGCCACACCAGCCGCACTCAAAGTTTTGCAAACATTCACGACAGGTGTTAAACCGGGTGCAGTCCAGGCATTGGGGCACAGAGTGAACACTGGATGGGAAGAAAATCCACTTAACAATTGGTGCGATTTGGTGGACATAAACTAACACACGGAGCATTCTTGTGCTTCAACAACCCTCCAAAAGGATGCAAATGACCAGCTGCCTGCAAGGAGTATAAATCCTTCCATTCCCCACTATCTGTCAGAGCTGAAGAAGTTTCTTGGATGAGAAGCGAAATGTCTTCAAAAGAAAAAAACAAGAAAACCCAGTTGCCTCCATGTTTTATTTCCTGCATCAGGGCTCAATGGAGGCTAAGCATCAATGCCCCTTCAGGTGATGACGTCTAAGACAGGGATCCCCAAACCTGGCAACTTTAAGACTTGTGGACTGTCATGCCCCTGTCAGAGTCTGAATCTGAGGAGGAAGCAGCTGACAGGGAGCGGGAGTGTGGCTCCGTTGGCTGTGGAGGAGGCTGGGGAAGGGCAAAGTCCGGCTGGGCAGAGCAGGACAGCGATAGAACAAGGGAGAGGGAGTCCAGAGGACTAACTAGACCCACCCTCTCTTCATTCTAGGGCACACAGGGAGGAACGGAGAAGAGAGCAACATGGGTTGCATGGCTTACGGGGAAGGAAAGGGCCTGGATTCCCTTCCTTAGCCACAGCTGGGAAGACAGTTGATAAGAGAGGCAGACTGCGTGCGGCAGGCTGCTTGGAGCGAACGTGACTTTATCCTGTGTTGACATGGCTTATCTGTATTCCTGGCATCTTCCCAACCATGTGAGTTTTGCTGTGCCTTCAAGCCTGGAATTCTTGCTTCAATTACTTCAGTTTGGCTTGTTTGGACTTTAAATTACAGTTTGTGTTGACTATGTTTTGGACTTAATTCTCTGCAGCCAACTGCTTCTGGCTGGAGAGTTTTTCTCCAGCCAGAAGGTAACCTGGACATTGGTGGCAAAGTTGGACATAATAAAGGGACTCTTATTGCTTATCTGACTGTGTTGCCTTTGTGCCACGCCCCGTGTCATCACATGGACCAACTCCCAGAATTCTGGGAGTTGAAATCCACAAATCTTAAAAGTTGCCAAGTTTGGAGACCTCTGGTTTAAGAGATGCCTGCTCTGTGGCTGGAGAAGAAAGCCTCTTTAAATATGTGCCTAAGGGAGGAAAGGAACACAACTTCTTGCCCCCCCGCCGCCCATCCTTTGCTTTGGACCAGCTGTCTCCAACCTACCTGTCATACCACCCACGGCAATCCCCATAGGGGTATTTAGCCAGGTAGGCTGCAAAGTAGAAGCAATTCCGGGTGGATTGGCACCAGGCACATTGGCTGGAATTGGAGAGGCACTCGGAGCAGGTGGTACGCCTGGGATGGAGAGAGAGAAAGAGAGAGAGGGAGAGGGAGGGAGGAAGAGAGAGGGAGAGGGAGAGGGAGAGGAGAAGGAGGGAGGGAGAGAGGGGAGAGGGAGGGAGGGAGGAAGAGAGGAGAGGAGAGGAGAGGAAGGAGAGGAGAGGGAGGGAGAGAGAGAGGGGGGAGAGGGAGGG